AAATAAAATACTTGGGAACCAACTTAATGAAAGAGGTGGAAGATCTATTTAATGAAAATTACAGAACACTAAAGAAAGAAATCAAAGAAGATCTTAGAAGATGGGAAGATCTACCTTGCTCTTGGATAGGCAGAATTAATATTATCAAAATGACCATACTACCAAAAGCACTATACAGATTTAATGCAATTCTGATCAAAATCCCAATGACATTCCTAATAGAAATAGAAAAAGCAATCATGAAATTCATCTGGAAAACAAGATAAGCACCTAAAAAACAAGTAATCCAATCAATAAATGGGCCAAGGACCTGAACAGACATTTCTCAGAAGAAGATATACAATTAATCAACAAACATATGGAAAAAATGCTTATTATCTCTAGCAATTAGAGAAATGCAAAGCTGCTCTAAGATACCATCTCACTTCAGTAAGAATGGCAACTATTATCAAGACAAACAACAATAAGTGTTGGCGAGGATGTGGAGAAAAAGGTACACTCGTACATTGCTGGTGGGACTGCAAATTAGTGCAGCCAATTTGGAAAGCAGTATGGAGATTCCTTGGAAAGCTGGAATGGAACCACCATTTGACCCAGCTATTCCTCTTCTCAGACTATACCCAAAGGACCTAAAAACAGCATACTACAGGGACACAGCCACATCAATGTTTATGGCAGCACAATTCATAATAGCTAAACTGTGGAGCCAACCTAGATGTCCTTCAGTGGATGAATGGATAAAAAAATGTGTCATTTAAACACAATAGAACTTTACTCAGCACTAAAAAAGAATAAGATCATGGCATTTGCAGGTAAATGGATGGCATTAGAGAAGATTATGCTAAGTGAAGTTAGCCAATCCCAAAAAAATAAATGCCGAATGTCTTCTCTGATATAAGGGAGGTGACTCAAAGTGGGGTAGGAAGGGAGAGCATGGGAGGAAGACTACCTCTAGATGGTAGGGAAAAAGAGGGGGAAGGGGAGTAGCAAGGATGGTTGAAGGTGATGGTCATCATTACACAAAATAATGTATGAAGATGTGAATCTGGTGTTAACATACCTTATATGGAGGATATGATAAATTGTGGTATAAAGGTATATTAAGAATTGTAATGGAAGTATTTTCTGCTGTCCTTTAAAAAAGCTTCTACTTTCCACTCTAAACTTACCTCGGCATCCTTCTCTGGTGTTATAATTCAGCATTGGTGAAGCAAGGACTCCTCACCGGTAAAACAGCGACAATTATCTTGGGAGAGGAAGATGGTGGCAAATAGAGTGCATCACCCCTGTGTACCGCGTCACTGCGCAGGTGAATAACGAGTTAGAACGGCCAAAAGCTATCTTGTTAGGAATTTCCAGCAAAATTGGGGTGCACCAAAACCTAGAGGAAGGATTTCCATCGCCCGAGGATCGGTTACTGGGGCTCAACCACGAGTGAACCGTGCGCCCAGAGATTCAAGCTGTCTGTGCCGCCCCCCCCCCCCCCCCAGTGCTAGAGACTGCGGCATGCCGGGAAATGTCATGCTAGCAACGCAGAGGAACGGCACTGCAGATTCTGTGGTCTCCTGCCAGCTGTGCCCTCACTGTGCTCCGGGCTGAGTTCTGGGTTTGAGACAGGGGAAGGAAGCGGTCCAGTTCTGTCCTCCACACTGGACAGCCCACCGAGGAAGCCAGTGGCCACCGTATTGGAGAGCTGACGTAACCATCGCCAGTTTTCAACAGATTGCAGCTCATTCAGCAATAGAACAGGTGTGTGTCATTTAGACCATCTCCCATACAGCGGGGAAATCGCATAAAATCTCTCCCCGGCTTTCCGGGGGCGTGATTAACAGAGTGAGCGTGAATAGAGGCGTGGGGAAAGGTAAAGGCACCTGACCTCCAACTCCCCCCTCCGACCAGCGGCAAAAACGAAACCTGTCTTGCCAGCTCTCGGAGGAGGGGCTAGTGGAGGGAATGAAAACAATAAGGTGCCGGTTCCCAATAGCCGTGCTCCATGTCCAGGAAACTGCAGGCCCAGAGTGTAGCTTGAACTGCCGAGAGGTATCACACTGGGAAAGGCCTGGCTGGCAGGAGATCGAGGGGACTAGAGACCAGGAATAAACCTAAGCTAACAGGTTTTGAGAGACAC